CTGGTGGTTTTTAAACAGGTTTAATTTTTATTACTATAAGGCCATGAAACACTATGGAAAATGTTTTAACCAACTCTTTAGATCCCTAGGAAGGATTTCTTATGGTTTGCTCCCAGAGATGAGAGAGCTCGTGGGGCTGCCAGGTCTGTGCTTCCTCTTTGCATATGCCTTTAAAAAATACCTTACCTTCTGTAAAATAAGTGCCAAGATAAACGTGCACATCACTGCTAACCTGCAAGAGACAGAAGAAAAGTTGTAAGGCAAGAAAGGCTTCTTTTTTAAAATTTCCTTGGAGGAATTGTGGTCAGGATCTTCTTTAATTTTTTATTGAAAGAGGTAACTCTGCCAAAAAGGTTCTTCTTCCCAGCTTTGTCAGGTAACTCAGTTGTGACTTAGTTTGAAATTCTACTTTTCTTGATTATATTGATTGGTTGTTGTCAGTAAAGAACTGCAGGTCACAAAGAGGTGAACGTTTATTAATCTAAATAATAAGTGAGTGAGGAAGCTTTGATGGCTGAGAACCATATTGTGTGCAAAGTCACCATCACAGTGATGCTCAGGCATGCTGTGGTGGAAGGGTATCAGTCACCTGCAGTTAACTGTGAAGGGTGGAGGTCTGGTACCTGCCTGCCTGCTGCCCTCCTGCTTGCTGCTGGGTGGTTTGGAGGCTTTTTCCCTCCTCCTTTATTGATAATGGTGAACAGCAATGTTGAGGGTTGGGCTGCAGGCAGGAGTCCCCCCCGCCCTGAGGAGCATCCTACGTGGCAGCTCTGGGTGCTGAGTCCTTGTGTTTGTCCCCTTCCCTGTTGCATGGGGGATGCTTTTGGGAACTCAGAGAGCTGCAGGGAAGGGGAGCACAAGAGAATTGGGTTTTCCTGGTTCCCAAGCAGCTAAGGCTGTGCTGCAGCTGAGTGGTGTTACCAGCCTGGGCTGGGCACTTGCCTTCTGCAAGGCAGGTGCCCCATTTACTCTTGGCTGTTGTGCAGGAGAAAGAGCTCCCACTGCTGCCCACACCCCTGCCCGCATCCCTGCCTCCCATGTGCTGCCTGGGCTCCTCTCCGGGGCAGTTCACAGTGGGTCCTGGGGCTTCTCAGGGACATAAGGCTTGACCCCGAACCAAAGCCCCCTCTCCCCTCCCAGTGGAGACTGAGGACATGGCCCCACAGTGCTGGTGGCCACGGGGGCATCCCTGCTCCCCTGCTGTGCTCAGTGCCAGCAGTCCCTGGTCTGCTGTGGGATGCAGGGAGCCTGCCCTGTCCTCTTAAACATCATGTCTTGCCCCTTAGCACTGCTCTGCTTGCTGGGGTGATGCTGGCCATAGAGGCAGTGATGTTGTAGTACTTCAGCTTCCTGTTGCTGAATGTTACTCACCGTGAATGGTTAAATAGATTTGAGTGAGTCACTTAAACAGACGCCATGGATGTGAAAATAATTGTCTGGGAAGCCTGTGCTTGCCAGGTCGCCAAGTAATCCTCACATGTCCTGTGACTCAAAGCCAGCCAGAAGGAGTGTTTTCTCCCTGCTGCTCAGTTGGAAATATTTTGAGGGAAGGCAACCTCGCTGCCCGTGCACCGTGTCCCTCCCTCCATCCGTGTAGTCCCGTCCCCTTCCTGAGTGGCCAACTCGGGGGGAAGCTCACCCACACTCGCCACTTGCCACGTGTGTCCTCAGTGACAGCATCACTGCAGTATATCCCTCAGCCTGAATTTACAGGGAGAAGGGAGAGTATGTACCAGCAAGTTATATGAAATTGTGTCATAGGATCAAGTGTGGGTGGATATGGGTGGGAAAGGACCTTGGAGGTCCCTGGTCCAGTACCCTCTAGCAGGTCCATTAGATCAGGTTGCTCAGGCATTCACCCAGCCACATGCTGAAGAGGATGGGTATCCCACAGCCTCTCAGTCCAGTGTTTGACCACCTTCATGACGACAGTTCTTCTTCCTAATATCTAATTTGAAATTTCCTTATCTCAGCTTGGTCCATCACTGCTTGTCCTGTCCCTGTGCACCTCCAAGCTTCAGTAAGAAGCTGAAGGTCACCTCCAAGGACCAGCAAAAAGTCTGGCTCCGGCTTCTCTCCACCCTCCTACTAGGTAGTTGTAGGCAGCAGAAGGAACCCCTTTGCTTTCCCTTTTGCAGGTGAACAAGCCCAGCTCTCAGCCTGTCCCCATGTTCATGGCAGCCTGCTGTCCCCCAGCACTCCTGGTTCTTTGTCTGCTTCCCCGTCAGCTGGCCCCAGCCTGTCTGGATACAGGGAGTTACTCAGCCCAGACTGGTTTGTTTCTTTATTAAATACAAGTTCTTTCAGGAATGGGGAAAAAAATAAATAATTAGTCACTTGAATGAGAACTCAGACTGAAAATGTCCCCTTCCTTTCCCTGCATTTGTGCTTATTCTCTAGCAAGTACATAATTGTACCACTTCTCCGGGTGAGGCCACTATGTTAGCTTTCTCAGAAGTACCTGGAGCCTGGGGTGAAGGTATTTGCAGACATGTTCTTTTTCTACTTTTCCCAATAGTGCTGAAGTTCTTAGCTCTGAGTCAGAAATGTGTACAACCATTGATAGGATGTGACCTGCCCCCAGCACATTCCCATCATCATGATTTTATAATTATGCTTGTGACTGGCAGCTGGGAGCATACAGCATCACAGCTACCACAGCCATTGAAATGACTCAGTTAATGTGCCCAGAGTCTATTAAAGAAAATTTTATTTAATTGAGTCTTGATCTCATCAAAAGCAAGAGGAAGCATTAGGGTGGCAGCATTTCCAAGAAGTCATATTTGAATGGCAGGTGGTTCATACTGTCCTTAGTATCTGGATCTTGAGAAATTTCAATGTGCTGGTCTCACTGCTGAGTTTTGGAGTTGCTTGGTCCCACGGTCAGGGCATGGTTAAGTCCCTGGCAAGCCAGCTGGTCTGCCACAAGCCCATGGGTGAGCACAGGGCATTTCATACCACGCAGCATTTTTTCAGGTGTGCAGCTTGAAGGGCAGCACAGGCAGAGCACATTTGGGTACCTGCATGCTGGGCATGGGTGCTCTGCCATCCGCTCCAAAACTACTGCTGTGCTTGGCGGCGTCCAGCAGTTTCTGAAGCACAGGGTGTCAAGGGCACACCTGCACGTCCCAGCTCCTTTGAGGACACTGACTTCGGGGAGAGGAACCTTGGTGAGATCACAGACTCAGACTGGTTTGGATTGGAAGGGACCTCCAAAGATCATCCAGTCCAGTCCAATCCCCTTGCCATGGCCAAGGACCCCTTCCCCGTCCCAGGGTGCTCCCAGCCCCGTCCAACCTGGCCTTGAACCCTTCCAGGGAGGGGGCAGCCACAGCTGCTCTGGGCACCCTGGGCCACTGTCTCACCACTCTCATCATACAACATTTCTTCCTTATTTCCAGCCTGACCCCACCCTTGTTGAGTTCAAAGCCGCTGCCCCTTGTCCTGTCACTGCAGGCCCCGGTCAAAAATCTCCCCCCCTCTTTCCTATAAACCCCCTTTAAGTACTGAGTGGCCGCGGCAAGGTCTCCCTGGAGCCGACTCCCCTCCAGGCTGCCCAAGCCCAACTCTCTCAGCCTTTCTCCACAGCAGAGGTGTTGCAGCCCTCGGGCCATTTTGGTGGCCTCCTCTGGACCCGCTCTGCCAGGTCCCTGTCTGTCTTGTGCGGGGGACCCCAGAGCTGGCCGCAGTGCTCCAGGGGGTCTGAGGAGAGCGGAGCAGAGGGGGAGCATCCCCTCCCTCGGCCTGCTGGCCACGCTGCTGGTGATGCAGCCCAGGAGGTGCTTGGCTTTCTGGGCTGCGAGTGCACGTTGCTGGCTCCTGTCCCACCTGTCACCCACCAATGTCCCCCCAGTCCTTCTCCGCACGGCTGACCAAGGAGCTTTGCTCCAACACAGGCTTGCTGAGCACAGCTTACGGCTTGGAGGTGCTGCTGCAATGCAGAGAAAAGCCCTACAAGACACAAGTGCCTGGAGGTGTTGCAGTGGTTGTGCTGTCAGTGGTGGGGAGCTCAGAGGTGATTCCTGGTGTTTGCACACAGGCACAAGGGCAGATAGCCCTCTGCCAGACCCCATTGGTCAGGCAGGGCTTGGGAAATCCTCAGCTGATTTACTTCTCTCAAGTATGCTATAGTTTCCTCTCTCTAGTCAAGTCAGTAGTCTTGCCAGCCCAGGAGACTCCTTTAAATGCCCTCACAGTCTTGGAGAGGCAGCCCTGGGGAGGGGTTGAGATTCATCAGTGGGCTCTGTGCTTGACAGGGCTCTTCTCCCGGTGGGAGCCGTGCGCAGGTCGCGCAGGTGTACGTAGGATGCCCCTGGGGACAGGGAGGAAGGGATTTGCTTGTACTTGTTTTTATTTGCAACTCCTGTGCCCCTGCCTGTTGGAATATGAGAATTGCTTTATAACTTCCTGCCACTGCTGGGCTGCTCGGTCATTCCCGAGAACATGGGCTGTGGGACTAGGGGTGGGTTTCTGGCCACTTCAGCCCCTACTTTTCTACCAAAAGCAGGAAATTCAGACTGGGGGGTGAACACACAGGCACACACACACTGGCTGTTAGTCGGGGGTGTCAGTGGAAGACGTGACCTTTTGTTACACCCTGGGGAGGACTGGCAGGCATGGCAGGGGCTTGGGGAGATCAGCCCTTGGTGAGCAAGAGGTTTTGGTGTCCAGGAGTGGTTTTCTTTTCACCATAGGAACCAGCACTGTGGATTGTATATCCCTTCCCTTCCACTTTCTGCAGAGGGCTGTGTATGGGGCAGGTTCAGAGTGTGCAGGGAGGGGTCCCACAGAACGACTCCCTGGCTCCCTGCTTGCCCAACCAGCAGCAGGGTTATTTCCAGGATCAGGACTGTTAGGAGAGTCCAGCGGGGTGCATGGGGTGGAAGTGATCCCAGTCTGGAGGTGGGGGTGCTCACAGCTCTGGTCTCCACATGCTGTAGAGTCAGGAGGCAAATTTCATCAGTGTCTCCAACAATGTTTGCTCTTTTCTTTCTACCCAGAAACGAAGGAGGAGCTGGAAGAGCTGATGTCTGACATAAAGAAGACAGCGAACAAAGTGCGCTCCAAGCTAAAGAGTGAGTATTTGCCTGTGATGCTGCTGTGGGGCTCTGCCCGCTGCACTCCTGCCCTGCAGCCCCAGACAGCAGGTACCACAGCTCCCATCCTCCTGGGTTGGGGAGGTAACTGGGTCCTGCTCCATGCCCCCACTGCTCAGCACTTTCTACTCGTCACCAGTACCTGGAAATGCTGTGGGGCCCTGGCTGTCATCTCAACCCTGTGCTGGCAGCAGCTGGTATTTGACTCAAGTCAAGACAGTTTTGGGATGGTTTGTTCTAGGTGGGAGAGGGAAGGTTACAGACACACAGCCTGGCCCCATCTGTGTCCTCTGACAACCTGAGCTGGCCCTGGGAGGGGTCACAAAGCTGAGGGAAGGGACAGCCAGAAGCAGCATCTGTCATTGCTTTGCAGGGATCACCCAGGGATGGGAATCACCTTCCCTCCCCCTAGCAGCCTCCAGTTGCTTTTATTTGCCCTTTGTGAATTTGCCCCGTTGTGCCCAGTTCCCAGATTGGAGGTGAGGGAAAGGGGCCATGAGCACTGGGTGGGTTGTGGGCAGGTCCTGGGCCACCAGCACTCACAGGTGGTGGGTGGGCTGCGCTGAGTGCCGGCTCTGAGCAAACCTATGGCATGGCCAGAGGTTGGGTTGCCAGGGCTGAGTGGTTGAAGAGGTTCTGCTGTGAGACTTGCAAGCCTCCAAGAAGAGATGGCTGTTCCCTGGTGAGCCAGGTTGGCACATGCAGCCAGGCAGGTGCAGCACCAAGGGGTCCCATCCGGAGAGCCATGGTCCCTCTTCCCTGTGTGGCCTTGACCAGGCTGGGTGGTGCTACCTGCTCTCCAGCAGCGTGCTGACAAGGGGCTTGTGCTTCTTGCTGCCTCATCCTGCTCCTGCCAAGCTGGTCTTGCTTTTCCATCCCCACTGCAGGCTGCATCATCACTGGTGGCCTCCTGCCAGTCCTCTCTATGCTAACAGTGTAGCTGGGATGGGCAGGAGGTACCACAGCCCCCAGACATGGGCTCTGTGGGGCAGGTGGTGGGGAAGAAAGGGGCCGTTGTGCTCGAGGAAGGTTATCCTGTCTCATCAGCATGGCCTGTTGTCTTGGCATGCCTCTGCCTTGGGCAGTGCAGGGACAGAGTGCAGCCAACGTGACCATTAGTTTCCACCATTGGAAGAGTCAATCAATCTCTTTGTCAAGCGGGGAGTGAGAACAACATGAATGTCAGCCTGCTGATGGCCAGGGTTGTGCTGGAGCACTTGGGTGAGCCCAAAAGCCCAAGGTTGGACCCCAGGTGATTCAGGGGGTCAGTGAGGACAGCATCATCTTGAGGCAGGAGGCAGGTCACCCTGGAATGGCTCAGATTTGCCTGCCATGGTCTTGAACATCAGCATGGGATTTGGTTGAGATTGTTGCAGAAGACCTGGCCATGTCTGAAAGGGTGGGAGAGGAGCTGGTGTTTCCTCCATGGCAGAAGCGTTCTCCCTAATCCCAGGGTTTTGTGGGATCCCACAGTCATGGAGGACTTAGGTACAGCTGGAGCTGTTTGTTAGGTTTGTCACCACTGGCATGGCCATGTCCCATGTCTATGCCAGAAGGAGACTTGTACCTCCATTGTCCCCTGGCTGCCCTCTGTCCTCCTGACATGTGATCTCAGCTAGATGCAGGAAGGAGAGGTAGGGCACCACTTACATATTTCATAGAGCAGGGAATCCCTTCCCATGGACCAGAGCCCCGCCAGCCATACTGGGATCCCTGGTGTCCAGGGTTTAGCCTGTGCAAAACAAAAATCCTTTCCATAGGTGTTTTGTTCTGTGTTTTTTAAGGGGCTTTGAGATCCTGAAGGATTGCAGGACAGGCTCTGATTCCTGTTTCCTTCTTCCAGAAAAGACTCACTGGTATTGTATTTACCTGGAGCAACAGATGATTAGTCCTTGTGCTTTGTCCCAAATCACCTCATGGCCAGCATGATCAATGAAAGAAGACAGTTAGGACTGATTAAAAACACCATCTGCTGACAACAAATTGACTTGTTTAGGACAGGCATTGCTCATGCAGTGGCTAATTCTAATTGCCAGCTTCTTGGGAAAATGTGATTTTATTAATTATCATAAATGCACAATGTTTGCTAATACCGTTCCTTGGGAACAGGGAACAGTTTATGACAAGTGTGGAGGAAGACCAATTGCTGATGAATTATGCTGGGCAGGCAGCAGGCAGTGCACTCACAGGCAGGGGAGTGAACAGGAGAAGTGCTGTGGCCGTCTGGCTGTGTGGGATGGAACCTTTCAGATAAGCTCTAGATGATACAGGCGCCTGTTCCAGGAGAGAATAGGAGGGACTGCAGAATTTGTGCTGATGTTCTCCAGCACTTCACTGGAGCATGCTGTGCTGTCAGACACCTTCTGCCAGCATTGCAAAGGGTCCCCAGGCCCCACAGGACCCTCCTTACAGCACTGCTGCTCTCTGCAAGGTGATACTGTGGGGCCACCCACGCTAACCAGCACGCAACAGAAGCAGAGATGCCTGCCATGCTGGTGGTGTCCTGTGCGCTGCCCTGCTCTGCTGGGAGGTGATGGGGAGCCACTGGGCAGCTCCAGGGAATGGCAGGTTCCTCCTCCCTGTTGCAGAAGGAACCTGCCCCATGATAGGCTCGTGGACCTGCTCCAGCATGGAAGGTGCTGGGGGCAGCCAGGCTCAGAGAGCTGTGGGACATCTGCACTGGGAAGGGGGTCTTCAGCCAAACTTGAGGGATGCCACCAGCTCACACCTGGTGGTCTACATGGAGACAGGTATCTCTGCACACTGGGCCAGCCTGCTGATGGGAGCTTTCTTCCGGGCTTTGTAAGTTCCTGATTTTAAGTTTTTGAACTAGCACGTCCCAAGCTGGCCTTGAGGATCAGATTTGCACTGCCTTGCTCTGTGCCAGACCTCCTGCCCTGCAACCCTGTGCCCCCTCCCTGCCCAGACCATACTGGGACGCTGAGCAGGGCAGCCCTCCTCCCTGCTCTGATTTATGGTCTTTGGGCAAGTGAGAAATTCATCTCACTTAGTTGCACTACCGGGCATAATTAAAAGAGCAAATCTCTGCTTTGCTGCAGAGGACTGTTCAGCAAGATGAAATACACTGTCATCAGCCTGGTGGGTCCTCCCTGTGCAAGGCCAGCCAGCTGGCAGACCTACTATTTTTAGAGTCCCTGGAGAAGTCTTGAGCTTTGGTATTTTGCAGAGACATTCTAGCTCTGTGTTTCCTCCTCCTGCCTAGCAGGGGGAGAACAGCACTCCATTTTGGTTGAATACCAGAAAGTGCAGAGGTCAGACCCGAGCATTACATCAGTTTTGCATTGAAATCCTCACTTACCAGCTTGGGGGTGATGGGTGCTGCCTTCAACAGCACCAAGTCTCAGCTGGTGGCCAGGAACTGAGTGCTTTGAAGTAATGAAACAGGGTTTTGCTGCCAGTCCAGGCTAAATCACAGGCTAGAGTCAGGAGCTGTGGAATGCTCAGTGCCAGATGCTCCTCAATTCGCAGGCTTCAGTCTTTTACAGTCCCTTTGCCAACAATCCCTTTTCCTTCTCTAAGCAGTGTGAAATAATCTGTGTCCTTCTACCCTGACCAGGTATTGAGCAGAGTATTGAACAAGAGGAAGGACTGAACAGGTCGTCTGCTGACCTGCGGATAAGGAAAACTCAGGTGAGCCTCTGCCCTGTGGCACTGGGAAGGGGTGGACAGGAGTTGGCTGGAGGCTGTTAAGGGATCCCAGGAGGCAATGGGAGAGAAGGGCTGTGCTTGTCTTTAGAGCAATCAAGTTCTGGTGTGCAAACACTGGGCAGAGTAATGCACCACGTTTCTGAATAAATCAGCAAAAAAAAACCAGCCTGAAAAGATCTGTGACATAAGTACGTGCAGAGGGAGCTGTGGAGGGGAGGGCAGCGTGCATCAGCTCCATCCTTCTGTGCAAGTCTGGGCGTCTGCGTGGATGAACAGGTGGGTGGGTTTCTGCATATCCATGTTAAGCATCTCACTAAAGGTGATTCTGACTGGAGCAAAAATACGCTCTGAAGTACCAGCTTTGGAGGGAGAACGTTTGCCTGCAATTGTTTAGAACCCTGAAGTCTCTGTGTGTTTCTGCAGTGCCTGGAAGGATGCTTGAACATCTCATAAATAAGAACAAGGCTTATTGATGCATCTTGGTAACTCACCTAAAATTTCACTTAATCTAAGAAGACAGGTGTTTTTTCAGAGTACTGTGCAGGTCTGCAGCCTGCTGGAAATGTTCTTTCCCACTGGGGCTGTGGTTGCCTCCCCACCAGGCATCAGTGAGGCTTTGCAGTCCAGGAAATGTTAGACTTTTGAAGAGCTGACACAGCTCTTCCTCTTGTTCCCATGAAACCACCAATAACTAGCACCTTCTTTTGATGGGCTTCTTAGCAGGGGTAGAGGTAGAGATGGGGTGTACCTCCATTTCCTCTGCCTGGGTGGTTTCAAGGCTGCATAATGCTCAGTTGTGATCAACGGTCATGCTGCTTGTGCTTCTGTCTGCAGCCAAGGTGGGGTGGAGCATGTTGGCTCTGCAAGAGATGGGGATTGAGGGACATGGGGCTTGTCCGTGGGTCCAGCAGTATGCACTAGAAACTGGAAGTCACCAACTCTGCTTTGAGCCAGAAGTTGGGCTGCATGATGTCCTGAAGTCCCTTCCAGCCCGAATTATCCTACAATTCTGAGTAACTCCCCATCCCCCCAAAGTCAAGAAGTAGCTTAGAAATATTTGATGAAAAAAGTGCTGGAGTGTCTTGTAGAGAGGCTTTTCTCTCTTAGGATCAGCTGATTACAGTGGGAAGGTCTGAATGCTGCAGACAGCCCTGCTGGGCACTGCTTGGGTCCTAGCCTGAGGCAACTGGAAGGCAAGGACAGGTCACAAGCATCTCTCTGATGTCCATGGTGGGTGCTAGTGGGAAGACTTTGAGAACATCAACAGAGAGAGCATAGTCAGTGAGGTAGTGGCAAGGCCAATAACTTGTCAGAAAGTGCCAAAAGAAAATTTCCTCCTGGAAACAGGCAGGCACAACCCAGGAAGGCAGTGCAAAGCGCTGGGGGAGTGCCCCAGGAAAGGACATTGAGGGGGAGCTGGGGAGAGGGGAGACAGCTGAGCTTCATACACCTATCATACAGCCTGCAGAATCTTCACAGGTTTCAGGTTAATTCAGACGCATTTGACTGCTGATGATCTGAGGTCTCATAAGACAAGGTTACCCATGGTCTCCAGCTGCTTTGAAACTGAGGCTTGAATTCCTAAGTAATGTGTACTTTGTGAAAATAGGACGTGCTTTTACTGATTTTCTGAAGTCAGAGCTATGCAATTGTCTTGGACATGCCAGGATTGCAGAGTGTGTTGGGATGGAGGCGGCAGAAAACAAGGCTGTGTCTCTAGTGGCCTCTGTTGGATCATCCAGCAGTGCACATTTATCTGGATCAGGCATAGGCACGTGGTGGCACCGTGGCCCCAGCTTGTGTGCAAGACTTCGTGCTCACCAGAGCTGCCATACTCTGCCTTTCACCATGTGCAGGAGGGTAGGCAACACCTGACACTGCACCCACAAACACATTGTTAACTCCAGGTTTTAGAGAAAAGTGGATCCAAAAGACTGTATTTGTGCTGGACTGGCATCTTGTGTTGTGTGACCACGGTGTTTTTTTATGGAGTCCATCCATTGTCAGCTATGGTCTGAGCTCTAAAAGCTGAACTAGTTTAGCTTGATGAAATGGCACTAGACAGAGAAGATCACTCATCTCCAGAAAAAGTGTACACAGCAAACAAGTGTTTAATTTAGAGATGGTATAACTTGGCTATACTACTCACTAGTGGCCTGCAAATGTGGGTTAATTCTCATGGGGAAGTGATTGTGAAAGAACGTGTTTTGTGGCTCCTCCATCTGCCAGAAAGTTGGAGGATTGATTGCATGAACTGTTTGACAAGAGCTTCCCTCATCATCTGTGTATCACCCTGGATGGAGCAGCTCCCTCCAAGGCCTTTCTAAAGAGGTGTTGTGTCTGCTCCATGTTGGCTTTGTGGTGTCGCCCCAGGCCATAGGCATGGTGGGGAAGTGTGTCCGTGGTGGCCTTCTCAGGTGTTGGGTGTGACACAGCTTCTCCCTTTTGCTTGCGCTGAGGTACTGCTGCCTTTGAGGGCACCAGTGTGATGCTCCAGCAGACCCACGCTGAGAATGGGTGAGCCTGTCCCTGCTGTACAAGGGTGATCAGGTCCTCATGGCAGGATCAGGTCATCCACTACAGTTGTGTGCCCAAGCTATGTCTGACTCCTGGCTGCTGCTGCACCCTGCCATGGGATCTGACTTTAGCACTGACCCCTCTAGAGCTACCTGGACTCTAAAGCTACTGGCTCATGTATAGGCTGAAAGAGTCACTTCTCTCCTGCAAACCACCACACATCAGGCTGTTGTGGGGGTCTTGCTGGGAGGGGGGGATCATGCTCAGGTGACCCCAGGTGTCTGTCCAGCCTGCAGGTTCCCTTGTCTCAAACTTCCCATGCATGGTCCATGGTTCTCTGGACTGTTTTCTGTGCTCTGCAGTGTTCGTTTGCTTGGTCCTTGCTATAGAGGTCTTGTTGAAATGTTTATGCCTTGGGAGATGGCACAAACACTTCTTTGTCCTCTCACTTTGTCCTGCAGAAGCAGTGAGTGTGGGGAGCACTGCTTATGAGCAGGCAGCATCCTGTGTGTCTCCTGTAGGGAGAGGTAAGAAAATGTTAAATAAATTAGATGGAAGTGTACACATGGAAGCAGCAGAGGGAGTGGCAGAAGAAGGGATACAAGTGTGATGTGGGTTAATGACCCAAAAGGTCGTTGAGATGATAGCATGGATAAATGCAGCTTCTAAGAAGGCTTAGGGTAGAAAGCCATTGGGCATCTTACTCCAGGACAGGAAATAAGAGGACCTCTGAAGGTCCCATGCAATTTAAATCATTCCATAATTGTAAATCAGTTATGCTGCCTAATGACCCTGGGGCAGAACAGGTCAACCTGGTGAAAGATCAGTGCTGTTGGCAGCTCCTGGTAAGCACAGAAGGTACATCCCAAACCACCGTGTGGCCACCAGTAACAAAGAGCCCAGAAGATGAGGGGGACCTGTAGGATGTGTCACCTACAAGCACTTCTGGTCAAACGTCTTGTGGCACATGTGAGTTTGGGGCACAAGAAAATGAGTGAATCTAGGCGGGAGTAAAACCAACTTTATTTTAAATTAATTTTTATTGAATAAATCACCTTCCTGTTCAGTGCAGTTTCATGCTGAGTTTTGCTAGCTCAGTTGCAGCACTCTGATGCTGAGCTTCTTTGGTTCATGTCTATATTTTAAGCAGCCTCGCCTGTCCCAGCTCAGCCATGGGATTGTGTGGTGAGAGCTCAGCCAGACTGGAGATGTTTCCCTGGTGGGAGTCATACCGTGGTGGCCAGGCAAACCATCTGCATTGTAAGGCGCCGTGTTGAGGTCGTGCATGTCGGGTCCAGCGCACCGGCGGGATGGCTGGTGTGGGGCTATGAGCCTGTCACAGGTGTCTGTCATTGCAGCTTCTTAAAATCAGCCTTCTCTGGGCTGAAGCTTTGTCTTCTGCTCTACCATGCAGGGATGCCGTGTAGTTTTTACTGTGAGTTGGCCAATCTTCTGGTGATCTTTTGGTGAGAAAGCACCCAGCAAGATGCAGTCATTGCTCCAGCGGTGGAATCTGCCTCTGCACTGCTGCAGGGTGAGCTACAGTACCTTGTCCTCGCTGGTCATACTGGAGGATGTAGATGAAAATGAGGCATCTCAGAGCAGAGAAGCAAGGCCTTGTTCTGCAGCAAAGACTGTGTTTTAACAAAACATTAAACTGATAAAGGCAACAGGAGCTGCCAGTGTGGCTCTTCAGCACCCAAGGGTGGGGATCCAGGCATGAGTCTGCTGCTCTCACAGGGGGTTTATGCACAAATACAGCTCAGTAAAAATCCTACTTTCTCTAAACTCTCTGCAGTGAAACCAGAGGAGTTTTGGCATTTACAGTTTATCTCCTTTTCAGCTGGGAAGCCGTTCGCATAGTCCGCTCTCCCATGCCGCAGTTGGTGGCAAATCAATACAGCAGTGATGTTAACTGATCACCTCTGCAGAGGCAGAGCCTGGCGTCCTCCCGGCCCTGCAGAAGTGTCAAGAGGCTGTCATGGCTGAGCTTGAGGCAGTTTTCCTCTGCAAAACTGGGGCAAGAGAAAGGCTTGTCTCTAGACTGAGTGGGAAGGAGAATTGCTCAGGCATAGCAAAGCCAAAGCAAAGGATGGTGCAACAGCACATGGCAAAGCAGGACAGCAGCAAGTCCCTCTGTGCACCAGCTCTGCTGTCCCTCCCTGGAGGGACCCTGACACGGGCAGAGCTCTGCTCTAGCTGGGCAGTGTCGGGAGGAGCCAGCAGATCTCTTCTCAGAAAAAACCTCTGCCTTTACCACTCCAGAGACACTGCTGTGTGCTGACAGCAGCGCTCTGAAACCCCCACTGGGCTTTCTGCTCTGCTGTGATCTGTGCTGTGCCCTTTAGGAGCTGTTTGCCATCTCAGATGCAGGTGCCGGTTGGCAGTGGCAGGGGGGAAAGCAGGGAGGTGGTAGTCGAAGGTGGTGGCTGTGGTGTGCTCATGTTTCCCAGGCAAAGGCATTA